ACCCTTTCTCACCCCTCTTTATGTGGCACGGAATTGCTGTCTCTGCTTCCCTGGGCCTTTCTGGGTACAGCAGCAGTGGCCATAGATTGAGGCTCTTTTCCAGTTTGGCTGTGTGTGGTTCCTGAGAGTGTCAGCCTTTACCTCTCTCTGGTCACCCCTCAAAGCTCCTGGCTTTCCCTCTTAGTAAGCAACCTATAGTCTTAAAAATCTGAATGCAGATTCTTGAACCTTCTACTCTCCATCACCCATTTCCTTCTCAAAGCCCTGATTCATTCATTCTGCTTGAACAAATACCAGATATACATCAGCAACTGGCAATACAGCCATGGACAGGCAGACACCCGCCCCTCTGGTGCCTCAGACAGGGGGACAGGAACTGCATAGCATCAGTGAGATGCTGTCCTTCCTTCCTTCCTTCCTTCCTTCCTTCCTTCCTTCCTTCCTTCCTTCCTTCCTTCCTTCCTTCATTTGACAGGTAGACTTATAGACAGTGAGAGAGAGAGAGACAGAGAGAAAGGTCTTCCTTCTGTTGGTTCACCCCCCAAATGGTCACTACGGCCAGCGCGCTGCACCGATCCGAAGCCAGGAGCAAGGTGCTTCCTCTGGGTCTCCCATGCGGGTGCAGGGCCCAAGCACTTGGGCCATCCTCCACTGCACTCCCAGGCCAGCAGAGAGCTGGACTGGGAGAGGAGCAACCGGGACTAGAACCCGGCGCCCATATGGGATGCCGACACCGCAGGCGGAGGATTAACCAAGTAAGCCACGGCACCGGCCCCAGAGATGCCATGCTTTCTACAGAGGAGAGGATCGGAGAGCTTCAGGGGCACTGTGGGAGGAGCTACACCCCCAGGTAGGGTAGCCAGGGAGGGCCTGGCTGATAAAGTGACATTCGTGAAAATGTGAAGTAGGTGAGGAAGGAAGCAGTGGTTCAGGCGCTAAGACCAGCCTGTGCAGAAGAAGCATCCTTGTGTAGTCAAGGCTCATTGAGGAAGGTGCCCGGGTTAGAGGGAAGGTAAGAGCAGGAGAAGCAGAAGGCCATCAGATCCAAGAGGACATGGTGGAGGAGATTTGCTTCAGGTATTGCAAGGACTTGGACATCTTCTCCATGTGAACAGAGGGACAGTGGAGCAGGGATCCCCAAGGATCCAAGGCAGACAGCGGGATGCATACTTCAGACCATCTGCTTCTCCAGGTATCCTGGTTTGACCTGAGCATAAACAGAGACTGACTTTTAAAAGATAACTCTTTGAGAGTCAAAGTTACACACACACACACACACACACACACACACAGGGGCAGGGGTGAGGGGAGAGAGAATCTTCCATCTGCTGTTTCAGTCACTCCCCGAATAACTTCAATGGCTAGGGCTGGGCCAGGCCAAAGCCAGAAGCCTGGAACGCCATCTGAGTCTCCTGTGTGGGTGCAGGGGCTCAACTACTTGGGCCATCTTCCACTGTTTTCCCAGGTGCATTAGCAGAAGCTGGATCAGAGGTAGAGTACCAGGGACTGAAATTGGCCCTCATATTGGATGCCGATGTTACAGGTCGCGGCTTAACCCACTGCACCACAATGCTGGCCCCTAGAATGAATTTTTAATTCATGGAGAACTGAATGCACCCATTTCTGTTGATGAAAGCCAAAGCTCTGAAAACGACCTGTACGAAACAGATTAACAGAGCTCACCATTGTTCAGCTCTGAAGAGTCTTGCTCCTGCGTAAGCCTGGCTCTCTTTGAAAGGGATGCATTTCCCATACCTGAGGACCAGTTTGTTTTTCCTTTTTGGGTAGACACTGTTAATCTGAGGCTGTCTCTCTACTTCTGCCAAGGTGCTTAGAGCTAGATCTGCAGATGGCCTGTAGCTGTATTGCAGAGCCCTCCATCCTCAGCGTGTTTTATCCTAGCCTGATTTCCATGTGTCTCAATTAAAGCCAAGTTTTCACTCTACTGTACTTTTGATCCTGTTAAATTTTTATGTCTCTAAAATGGGGGAAAGCTACAAATAAATGATATAGGATGCAAATGCCATCACTTAAAGTCCAATTTGGAGTTTAGGTTCTTCGTATTTGACTTTAACTTCTATAAATGAGAAAAATGATGCACACACAGAATTTTCGGGATGAAACCATGAGTAACTAATATATAATGTGTACCTTTCGCTCTTGGCTAGGTTTTGGTGCCAGCTGCCAATCTTCCCATTTCAAGTTTCTAGATGTGTTATTTTATCACACAGCCACACGTGACAGTGACGCTGGTGTGAGATTGGCAGTCTGGGTTTGGCTGTATGCTTAGCTCCAGTTGTGGAGTCTGTACATTCCAGCTCTTGCTATCCATTCTGATTTAGTGAGTCTTGCAAGCCTCTTTGGAAACTATTTTGCACAAGCTGAGCAAACAATATATTTTTGGAGATCTTGGATATTTGAAAGAAATTTTGTTTTTGCTGCCTTTACTTGTAAGCCACCACCTGACTGAGCAAACAAATCTTGGGTCAGACTCTTTCTGGAAGCTGAATGTTGCCCAGTTGTTGCTCAGCATTAATACAGGGTAGCATGAAAGCTGGGTATCCTTGGCATTGGTCCCTAAGAACAGGTCATTCATTTTACCTTTGAACCTCCAGCCTTTATTCATGCCAAGGAAGGCCTTTCCTGTCGTGTCCTTGCCGATGCTGAAGACCTACATGTTATGCTTCCCTTTGCACACTCCATATTCTTTTATGTATTGATTTTTTCCCAGGTACCTTTTATTTAAGGTATACAAACTTCATGCATTTCATAAATACAAATTTAGGAACATAGTGATTTCTGCCACCCCTCCTCCCTCCCTCCTTCACACCCCCACCCTTCTTCATCCTCCCTCTCCTATTTCCACTCTTATTTTTTACTAAGATCTATTTCAATTAACTTTACACACAGAAGGTTAACCCTACACTAAGTACAGAGTTCAACAAATAGAATGAAAAAAGAAAACCTGTTCCTCAACCATTGAGACAAGGGCTGTTCAAAGTCACTGCCTCTCACAGTGTGCATCTCACTTCCATAGGTTACCTTTTAGGTGCTCTATCAGTTACCGCAGATCAGGGAGAACGCTGTATGCATTTGCTGGTTGTGTCTCTGTGATCTGCATTCCACTTCTCGTCTTTGAAATTTCATCATTTCCCCTCCCGTTTCCTTACATCCTCTGCTTTCTGAGATGACCCACCAGCGTTGCCCTCTGCAGGAAATTCAGTTCTCAGCACTGCAAGGCAGCCGTTCATCAGTTTGTTTGTAGCTGTTTAGGCTCTGGAACCTTTTCCGTTTTGTCAACTTCCCTCCTCATCTCTGCAGCTTCTTGTTTAATAAAAGTTACATGAATATTGTTTAGCGTAGAGGGTGAATTTTTTAATACAAAAATCTGTTCATGAAGAGACTCCTTTTCAGACGAGAAATACACCTTTTGAGCCATATCCCTCCTCCTCCTTTGCTTTTACAATCAAATATTTGCTCCTTGCCACCTAACAGTGCCACTGTAGGCCATTAGAGGAGGCCTTGTCCCAGCAGGAAGTAGGGAGGACTTACCCTGGGCTCCTGGTGGGTGCCTGTGGCTTCTGCCACCACAGGGTGTCAGACTTCCTTTTATTGCCTCCCCTGTGGGCGGAATAAAGTCTTCCCCACTGGCACGAGGCTGTCTGACAACTCAGTTCCACCTGGCGTTTAGCACTGCATTGGCCCAGTCTTCATTAAGAAGATGCTTTCAGGAAACATTCAAAAGATGATCTCCCCGGGAGTGGGTGTAATAATCAGTGTGTCTCAGTGCTGTAATGTTCGGCATCTTATAAATAATTCTGCATGATGACCGAGGCACTAATGCCCACGACTGACTAAGGAGGTTTTTGAGTCATGAATTTGACCTTGACAGAAACATCATTTACTCCTGGCTATTAAGGCACAAAATAATTTGCATTTTAAAAATTCTTGTTTTCCTTCTGTCTCTTCTACCACCGGGAAACACTTCTCTTCCATTCAAGACAGGTTGCTGCTTTAGCAAACACAGGCGTTTATGTTGAGGTTGAGTAAAAGTGGAGTTATCTAAGTTTTTTTTTTTTTTTTAAGATTTATTCATTTATTTGAAAGTTGGAGTTACAGAGAGAGAGAATGAGAGGCAGAGAGAGAGAGGTCTTCCATCTACTGGTTCACTCCCCAGTTGGCCGCAACAGCCAGAGCTGCGCCAATCTGAAGCCAGGAGCCAGGAGCTTCTTCTGGGTCTCCCACGAGGGTGCAGGGGCCCAAGGACTTGGGTCATCTTCTACTGCTTTCCCAGGTTGTAGCAGGGATCTGCATCAGAAATGGAGCAGCTGGGACTCAAACCGGCGCCCATATGGGATGCTGGCACTGCAGGCGGCAGCTTTACCCACTATGCCACAGCGCCGACCCCTATCTAAGTTTTGAGTCCTGAAATTGCAGCATGTCATATCGTACTGATCTGAGTTTTTGCAAATTTTCTTTTTTATTGATTGGGAGGAAAATGCAGAACCCTATAGAAAACAGACAACGCTGTGGGGGCATAGTCTTCATTTTATCTGAGCTGAAGATAAAGATAAAAAAAAAATCCATCAAAGATGTAAGGTTATCCGATTTGTTCTTAATCTGCTCTTAGCACAAGGGTTACCCTGTGCTATCACAGAGCCCAGAAGTTTTGAGAGACAAAAACCCTGCCAGACAACTCGGTGACTTTAAACCAGAGATGGAAGATGGGAAGCCTGGTTAACCCGGACCCTCCCCCCACCGACCCTTCCCTCACCCGCTTCCCGAAGGCCACCTTCCAGGAGGAAGTCAGTTTAGCAGCTGGGCTGAAATCCGCCACAGACCAGCATGCAGCCGTGTACTCAAGGTGCCGGCTCCTCTTTCTCCTGCGAGAACTGCCTGCCCCTCCAAAGCCAGGCAGCTGGGCGCCAGGTGGCAGGCAGACTGCAAAGATGGAAACCACACGTGGAGACTAACGCGTCTCGCTTCCTTTCTCTTTCCAGGTTTGAGGTTCCTAAGAGCTCTCCGACTGATACAGTTTTCAGAAATTTTGCAGTTTCTGAATATTCTTAAAACAAGGTAAGATGTGCTTTCTCCCCTCTTCCCCATCCCAGTCCCCAGGCGATAAATACCAGGTGTGTTTGCGTCCATCCCAATGGGATTGTAGCTATATCTTAGGCGCATTGATCTCACTCGGAGATGGAGGGAAAACCCACAAGATAGCTTTGTTGCTGTTCTCTGCAGGGCTGGGAAATCTTGATCGACAGCTGCACACATTGGGGGACAGGGACAGTTTTGGGGGGATGTGTGGCTGGTCCCTGGGTACCGGCTGGGCTTGGTCAGAGATGAGCCCCGGCACCACTGGGAGAGCGGTGCACAACGCATGAGCCATAGATTTGCTCGTGGACTGGGAAGTCCTGCGGTCAGGTGCTAAATCGTCCCTTTATTACATCACTAAATAAGAAATTGAATGTGGTCGTAAAGGCAAGAGAAGCAGTGCTCTTTGAAAGGCAATCACAAACCTCATACGGCAAACAGAAAATCATTTCATTTCCAAGTACATTTTAGTTGTTCACTTTATATCCGGAGAGCCCTGGGGGCCTGCTCTGCGAATTGCCTGTTGGGGGAAGATGGAAGAACCTCCTGCGAATGCGGCACGGCCACTTCTTTGAACTGCGTTCTGATCTGGGAAACACAACTGGACGGGAGGAAGAGCCCCCAGGGGCTCCATCCTGATGACCTGCCGGTTTGCAGCGCTGGCCTGAAACCAGGCTGCCTTGATAAATACACTCATAAGAGAGGTTAGACGGACTCTAATGGAGAGTAAGTAGGGCTCGTAAACTTCTAGGAAATTGCACTTGAAGAGGCTCGCTTCTAATGTTCCGTTTCCTCTCTGGTTGCCCTTCATGTGTTTGCTGCATGATTAAAAACAGGACACCTCTGTATTTGGTGATTTATAACGAACATACCTGCATTTGGAAGGCCTGGGTTTAGCATAACTTCCCGAGTAATGTGAGGCTAAACTCCTGCTCCTGAACCTGGCCCGTTTACAGCTCTCCTCCTGGGGTGCCAGTGTTGTTTGTTAATTATCTGAATCTCTTTCCTCTCCCCAGATAATCATCTATGGGGCTGTAAGGTAAAATCCTCTGTTAGCCATGTGTTAAACAGAAAACCGGCATCCAGTGGCATGGGAGTGTCCTACCGCTCTTTATTTTTTATTATTCTGGTGGTAATACTTGTATTGATCTTCTGTTTATTAATGAGTAGTACTCTTCATACATGAGGATACTTTGCTGTGTTTGTGGACAATGCATGCATTTCAAAATTTATGTAGAGACTGTAGTTATTTTTCCTGTTTCCTCGGAGCAGTGCACATTCTGATTTCTGTCTTTTTGTGGCTCTTCAAGCAGTAGACTCCTGTTCCTTGACATGTAAATGATCACCAAAGCTATCGTCCCCAGTATTTGCCTGGATCACGTTTGCTCCATTAGGATATTTATTTATATTTATATTTATATTTATATTTAGACAGAGCTTGCACTCCTATCTACTTGTTCACTCCCCGAATGCCTGTGAATGCTGAGGCTGGACCAGGGCTACAGCCAGGAGCAAAGAACGGAATGCAGGTCTCCCCCGTGGGTGGCAGGAATCCAATTACATGAGCAATCACTGCTTCCTCCCCAGGTCTGCCTTAGCAGGAAGCTGGAGCCAGGAGTGGAGCTGGAGTCAAACCCAGGTTCTCTGATATGGGATGCGGGATTCTTAATGGATGTCTTCACTGCCAGGCTAAATACGGAGCTTTTTCACTGTATTTTTAATGGTAGAATAGGGCCTTGTCCTTAGAGATACATTTTTTTCCAGTTGGCTCACCCACACTTTCTCTCCCTCTCTCTGGCCCCTGCCCCACGTTTACCTCATACATTGGGGGACTTTCATTCTCTGACAGCAGCACTTTGGAAGGTTCCAGTGCCCTGAGGAATAGGGAGGAGAGAACTGTCTTCTTGGCCTCCTCACGTACCCCCTGGGTCTCTACTCCAGAGAGCGATGTGACACCTGGATCTCTGATTCTGACCTTCTGCTAGGAGACCCATCTGTTTCCCGTTCTTTGGAAAAGATTCCTTTCTTTGCAGGAAGCAGCTCTGGCATCCCTGGTGAACACTGTACCTGGTAACTGCACCATCAGGGCTGGTTCCTTTTCACAGTGTAGAGAGGAGGGAACTGACAGTCAGCTGGGGAATCATGGCCGGAAGCAGGGAGCGAGCAGCCCTAGGGAAGACTTCTAGGAGGCAGGCTGGTGGGGCACCTGCTGTCTGGGCCCCCAGCCACAGTTCCCCAGCACCCCCTGCACACTGAACTGAACTCTGATTGTCAGAGGATGCTTTTCATTATAATCCCAGAACTTGGATTTTTCTGAGCTTCCATTGCTTAGGGTCACAGTCAGATGACTGAATCAATCCAGCAAGGCAAAGTGAGTGCCCGCTGTGCCAGCAGCAAGGTGGGCATGCAGATGGTGTTCTGCTGCCCACGAGTTCCCAGGTGGACGGGGCGAGGGGCCTGCCTGTGTGGTTGGCACGGAGACAGGTGCCCAGGGCTGTGAGGCACGGCGGGGAGTGATTGTGTCGGGAGTAGCATGAGCTCTGCAGCTGCCAAAGATCTTTCCAAGGAGCAGGACTGTCTCAGATAAAGCCCTGGAGAAAACCAGGTGCCATCTCAGTGAGGCTGTGGGACGGGCACCGGCTGGGTAGAGAGGGAGAGGCTGACTTCTGGCCGAGTCTGCAGAAATCACAAGGTGGGAGACAGTCCTTAGGCGCCCTGTGCTGCTGCTGCTGCTGCTGCTTTTTTTTTTTTTTCCGACAGGCAGAGTTAGACAGTGAGAGAGAGAGGGAAAGAAAGGTCTTCCTTCCGTTGGTTCACTCCCCAAATGGCCGTTATGGCCGGTGCGCTGCGCTGATCCAAAACCAGGAGCCAGGTGCTTCCTCCTGGTCTCCCATGCGGGTGCAGGGCCCAAGCACTTGGGCCATCCTCCACTGCACTCCCGGGCCACAGCAGAGAGCTGGACTGGAAGAGGAGCAACCAGGACAGAATCTGTTGCCCCAATGGGACTAGAACCCGGCGTGCCGGCACTGCAGGTGGAGGATTAGCCTAGTGAGCCGCGGTGCTGGCCAGCCCTGTGCTTCTGCACACTGGGACTCCAGGGAAGAAAATGGGTGCATCAAGCAGGTAGGCAAAGACTTGAACCCCAGATGAAAGCTTCCGTGAGTTGGAAGAACTCTAGGAGCTTCCAGAAGCTCTGAGCCCCCTCGCTCTCCAGGTGCCGGCTCCCTCAGCCCTTCCCCTCCCAGCACCCCAGGCGCTGACCCTGGAGCCCTGCTGCAGAGAGCTGGAAGCCTGGGCTCTGTGCGGGGCACTGGACTTGGAGCTGATCTCCTGGGACCCCTCTGAACGCTGCTGGTTTCATGGTGACTTCTGACGGGTGGGTGGGGTCACATCATCATCTCTAGGGAGGATTTGTCCGCCTCTGTCTTTGACAGTGCATCCTTGCCAGTCTGTGGCATTGGGTAGGGATGGAGGGAGGCATCGCAGATGGGATCGCAAGTGATGCTGTGAAATTGCGGCTTCGTTTTTCTGTTCTACAGTCATCCCCTTTGTCCCAGAGCAGGAAGAGAAGCAGAAAGCACAAGGGAGGAGAGTGCTAAAGAACGCAGAGGGCCGAGGCCGGCGCCACGGCTCACTTGGCTAATCCTCCGCCTGTGGCACTGGCCCCGCCATATGGGCGCCGGGTTGTAGTCCTGGTTGCTCCTCTTCCAGTCCAGCTCTCTGCTGTAGCCCGGGAAGGCAGTGGAGGATGGCCCAAGTGCTTGGGCCCTGCACCCCATGGGAGACCAGGAGGAAGCACCTGGCTCCTGGCTTCGGATCGGCGCAGCGCGCCGGCCATAGTGGCCATTTGGGAGGTGAACCAACAGAAGGAAGACCTTTCTCTCTGTCTCTCTGTCTCTCTCTCTCACTGTCTATCTGTCAAATAAAAAAAAATGCAGAGGGCCGGGAAAGGAGCAGGATGACAGGGGCAGGTCCCATCTGCGTGAGCAGCGTCAGGACCGCTCCTCACCACTGCAAGCCGGCAGAGGGCCTCAGACACTCCACATCTTGGACATGGCCCATCCAGGGGGAGCCTGGGAGGCTCCGTGTGGGTGTTCCTCAGTGCCCCTGCAGACTGGGGAGCTGACTTGCAGGCGGTGCAACACTTAGGCTACCGTCAAAGCAGAGTAAGCAGCCCTGTTTAAAGTGATGACGCCACATCTTGCTGGCTGTGGTAGATCCTGGTGATTAAAGCACACACCACCTAGCAATATTTTTTCAAAATGAAAATTGTCTTAACACAGTAAGATAATGTTCCTTGTAAACATTTTTCAGTACAGAAAATCGTAAAGGACAAAGTGAAGTTGCTCTCACAACCTTATAATAGTTCCTACTGACCACGTCACATTCGTTTCCCACGGAGCATCTGCAGGACCACCCTTTAGCTGGTTGGCACATCTGCAGGGGGAACGGTTTGAGAACTGAACTTCACTCAATCTAAGTTTGTGGGCAGAGCATTTGACGTGGAAGCTGCAGGCGAGGCGCAGGCAGAGGCCCAAATCAGGAAGGTTCTTAGATTCCTGGATTTTACGGAGAGAGCTGTGAAGGATTTCACTCCAGGGGGAATGTGGCCATTATTCCACCAGTTGCTGAGAGTACGTCTGAAGCCCCTGAGACCAGGTGAACACAGGAAGACTAGTCAGGGGCAGGGGTGTGTGTGTGTATGTGTGTAGTCAGGGGCAGGGGTGTGTGCATGTGTATGTGTAGTCAGGGGCAGGGTGTGTGTGTGTGTGTGTGTGTAGTCAGGGGCAGGGTGTGTGTGTGCGTGTGTGTGTAGTCAGGGGCAGGGGTGTGTGTGTGTGTGTAGTCAGGGGCAGGGTGTGTGTGTATAGTCAGGGGCAGGGGTGTGTGTGCGTGTGTGTGTAGTCAGGGGCAGGGTGTGTGTGTGTAAGTCAGGGGCAGGGGTGTGTGTGTGTGTGTGTGTAGTCAGGGGCAGGGTGTGT